ACCCTAAACCCTAAACCCTAAACCCTGCGAGCAGGCGGGAGAGAGGAGAAGAAATCGAGGAAAGTCTTTTGTTGCTTTCTGGAGAAAAAGAAAAAGATGAAAAACCCCAAAAGAAACCGCTGGCCTACACACTTTCAAAACCGCCACCCAAAAAGCGTAAACCCTAAACCCTAATCCCTAAACCCTAAACCCTCACGCTAAAGCCTGAACAAAATCACACCCCACAGCCAGAAGGGGGATATGCGTGCCCGTGGTTGATAAATTGCTCCGGTGGCCACTTCTGCCGGGATTAGGGTTTAGGGTTTAGGGTTTAGGGTTTAGGGTTGATGAACAGGCAGAGACCCACTGTGGTGGATGCGCTCGATTGCATGCCTCAAGGTGCAGATTCCTCCAAACCACAAGATTCAGGTCTGTCTGAAACCCTAAACCCTAAACCCTAAACCCTAAACATTAAACCCTAGACACTAAACCTTGCAGGCGTTCGAGCCTGCCGCTGTTGTCACTTCTTTCTTGAGAACTGGAGCCTTTGGCTTCAGGGTGAAAGCACTTGCGCCGACGGCCACAATCTAGGGTTTAGGGTTTAGGGTTTAGGGTTTAGGGTTTGCGTGCAGGCCCTGTTCAACCTGGCTTCTGTTTCTTGCTTCGATGGCAGACCCTACACGATGCATGATTTATTAGATTGGGACTTTCACGTTTTGTCTTTGCCTGAGCCCGAGGCCGTGCGCCTCTGCAGGTCCAAACCCTAAACCCTAAACCCTAAACCCTAAACCCTAAACCCTAAATGACACTCTGTAAGCGCTAAACCCTAGGGCGTGGCCGCGGAAGTGGCCGCAGCTTTTCGCGCGCGGGCTGCGCTGCCGCACACTCCCCCTTGCGCTCCACAGGGTTTAGCGTTTGGGTTTAGGGTTTAGGGTTTAGGGTTTAGGGTTTGGGTTTAGGGACTTGTTGATGTACTACGCGGAACGGGCCTCTCTTGGAGTCAGAGGAGAAATCATTATGAACTTCTGCGGGGCTTTGCATGCAAATTATTTGCCAAACCCTTATCACAATTTCTACCACGCCCTCAACGTGGTCCAGGTTAGGGTTTAGGGTTTAGGGTTTAGAGTTTAGGGTTTAGGGTTCGCGGGGCCCTTGGGGTCTCAGGCTTCGCGGTCTAAGCCCTGAGCGCTAAACCCTAAACCCTCGTCTCGATGCAAGCCCACCTGCTGCGGAGGCGGCCGGCCCTAGGCGCAGGGCCTAGGGTTTAGGGTTTAGGGTTTAGGGTTTGCGAGCAGGTGCTTTGTTTGCTGCTGGCGCTGCCCGACGTGGGGGCCCGCTTTACTCCTACAGATTATTTTGTTCTTTCTGTTGCTGCACTTGGCCACGACTTGGGCCACCCAGGGTTTAACAATCTTTTCATGCAGCGCAACCAGTGGTAGGGTTTAGGGTTTAGGGTTTAGGGTTTAGGATTTAGGGTTTGGGGCTTGGGGTTTGCAGCTTGAGGGCTGCGCTGGGAGATGGGGGGTTTTGTAGAAACTCGATTTGGGCCACGGGTTTTGGCTGTTGCTGCTAGACGCTGAATCTAGGGTTTAGGGTTTAGGGTTTAGGGTTTAGGGTTTGCGTGCAGTTGGCCAGCTCGGATTTACAACAATGTTTCTATCCTCGAGAATTACCACGCGGCCTCTTTGCTGCAGATCCTTCGGTCAGCGCAAACCCTACACCCTAGAACCTAAACCCTAAACCCTAAGCCCTAAACCCTGAAAATAAAAGTGTTAGTCGTTCAAGACTGCCATTCTTGTTGGCAGCTTTCTGCCGCCGCTGAGGGTTTAGGGTTTAGGGTTTAGGGTCAGCGCGCCGGAGCTGGACGCCCAGGGTTTAGGGTTTAGGGCTTAGGGTTTAGAGTGTAAGGTTTAGGGTTTAGCAAGTAGGATGAAGAGTTTAGGGTTTCGCATTTCTACATTCGAGTTTCGGGTTCAGCGTCCAGCGTACAGCGCTCAGTGCGTTCAGGTCCAGGGCTCAGGGCCCAGGGTTTAGGGTTTAGGGTTTAGGGTTTAGGGTTTAGGGTTTGCGCAGGGTGCCGCACATGGACGTGTTTGCGGGTTTGTCGGACTCGGAGTTGCCCGCAGTTCGCGAGCGAATTATAAACGCCATTATGTGGACTGACATGGCCAAGCACTTCGACATGGTGGCCCAGCTCGACGGCAAAATCCAAGTCTGCTGCTGCTGCTGCTGCTGCTGCTGCTGCTGCTGCTGCTGCTGCGGGGGAGGGGTG